TGGTGTTAGGCTAGGTTTGATCCACAGTAATTTAGAACTACTAGAAAGAGGGCCAGGGTCTGAAGACAAGTCTTTTGAGTAAACCATTGTCCTGATAAGAGAGTTGTTTTTCCAGATGAACAGACTGCTCAGATAACTTGGTATGCAAGAAGCTCTGCAAGCTAACATCACAATTTTGCTGACACAGGCCACCCTGTCTTTTAAATTGTGTTACTTGGACCATCTCAACAGTTTTATATTGAGAAGTCTCTGTTTCATTTTCATTGTGGTCATTCTCCAGTTTAAGCTGGTGGATAGATGTTTACCTTCTTGGGACATGGTTAATGTAGACCCATGCCATTGATTGAGGTGCTGTGATCACATATCATATTTCTGTTAGTGGCCATTTCTGCTTTTGTAAATATTAGGTATTTCTGTTCTTTCTGTTGTTGGATAATCCTTGTGGGATCATCTGACAGGGTAGGGACTGAACATTTGAAAGAGTGAGGATTTGAGCAACACAGAGGAAACACAAGAAGAAAGAGTTTGATCAGTTTGCAGTTCACTTCTAAGCCATTCATCAAGGCTGCCCAAATTGAATCAGATTCTATCTTCAATCTGAAACCTTTCTTCCTGTTTTCCCTCTTTCTGCCTCTATTTCACAGATCTTTCTTAATAATATTATAAATATCAAGATGTGAATACGACTGTCTTCCACTTAGATGGCATCTGTTCGACCTTGAGAGACTGAAACCCTCTCTAGGTCTTCTCCATTTTGAATTTTCATGTGTTCAAGTCATAACATCTTCAAGTGAGGTGTTCTCTGGCCCTCAAAGCATTACCTAGCTTGCTGGTTACTATGTGAACCAAATAAACATAAAATGCTCCCCAGTTTCCGGTTTCCAATAAACTATGAAATGAAGAAACTTGAGGAAGAAAGCAGTTCAGAAGTCAGTGTCAGAGGTTAATGTTTTACATCTCATATTGAGAACCAGTTTTTCTACTTCTTGAATTGTCACCAAGAATGCTTATTTGTTGAGAAGGCAAGCAATTGGCCAAAGTGGGCCAGAGATGCTATCAGGGATTAATCTAAAGGCAAGCGCCAGTTTATTGAGGTAACAAGTCCCTGACCCTGTTGTTCAGTTCAGTCACTTAGTCGTGTCCGACTCTTTGCAACCCCATGGACTGCAGCACACCAGGCCTCCCTGTCCATCAACAACTCCCAGAGTTTACCCAAACTCATGCCTATGGAGTCAGTGATGCTTCCAACCATCTTATCCTCTCCTCCCGCCTTCAATATTTCCCAGCATCCGGGTCTTTTCAAATGAGTCAGCTCTTTGCATCAGGTGGCCAAAGTATTGGAGTTCCAGCTTCAACATCAGTCCTACCAATGAAGACTCAGGACTGATCTCCTTGAGAATGGACTGGTTGGATCTCCTTGCAGTCCAAGGGGCTCTCAAGTGTCTTCTTCAACACCACAGTTCAAAAAGCATCAATTCTTCGATACTCAGCTTTCTTTATAGTCCAACTCTCACATCCATATATGACTACTGGAAAAACCATAGCCTTGATAAGATGGACCTTTATTGGCAAATTAATGTCTCTTCTTTTTAATATGCTGTCTAGGTTGGTCATAACTTTCCTTCCAAGGAGTAAGCCTCTTTTAATTTCATGGGTGCAGTCACCATCTGCTGTGATTTTGGAGCCCCCCAAAATAAAGCCCCTGTTGTGGGTAGTAGGAAATAAACTGTTTGCTTAAGCCACTATGTTAAGAATTCTTTGGGCACAATAAAGGACAGAAATGGTATGGACCTAACAGAAGCAGAAGATATTAAGAAGAGGTGGCAAGAATACACAGAAGAACTATACAAAAAAGATCTTCATGACCCAGATAACCACAATGGTGTGATCACCCACCTAGAGCCAGACATCCTGGAATGCAAAGTCAAGTGGGCCTTAGGAAGCATCACTATGAACAAAGCTAGTGGAGATGATGGAATTCCAGTTGAGCTATTTCAAATCCTAAAAGATGATATTGTGAAAGTGCTACACTGAATATGCCAGCACATTTGGAAAACTCAGCAGTGGCCACAGGACTGGAAAATGTCAGTTTCCATTCCAATCCCTAAGAAAGGCAATGCCAAGGAATGCTCAAACTACTGCACAATTGTACTCATCTCACACGCTATCAAAGTAATGCTCAAAATCCTCTAAAGCCAGGCTTCAATAGTACGTGAACCATGAACTGTGATATGTTCAAGCTGGATTCAGAAAAGGCAGAGAACCAGAAATCAAATTGCCAACATCCGCTGGATCCTCAGAAAAGCAAGAGAATTCCAGAAAAACATCTACTTCCACTTAATTGACTATGTGAAAGCCTTTGACTGTGTGGATCACAACAAACTGTGGAAAATTCTTCAAGAGATGGGAATACCAGACTACCTGACCTGCCTCCTAAGAAATCTGTGTGCGGGTCAGGAAGTAACAGTTAGAACTGGACATGGAACAACAGACTGGTTCCAAATAGGAAAAGGAGTACGTCAAGGCTGTATATTGTCACTCTGTTTATTTAACTAATATGCAGAGTACACCATGCAAAATGCTGGACTTGATGAAGCACAAGCTGGAATCAAGATTGCTGGGAGAAATATCAATAACCTCAGATACACAGATGCCACCACCCTTGTGGCAGAAAGCAAAGAAAGCAGAAAGCAAAAGAAAGCTTCTTAATGAAAGTGAAAGAGAAGAGTGAAAAAGTTGGCTGAAAACTCAACATTCGGAAAAGTAAGATCATGGCATCTGGTCCCATCACTTCATGGCAAATAGATGGGGAAGCAATGGAAACAGTAAGAGACTTTATTTTGGGGGGCTCCAAAATCACTGCAGATGGTGACTGCAGCCATGAAAAAAAAAGGCGCTTATTTCTTGGAAGGAAAGTTATTACCAACCTAGACAGCATATTAAAAAGCAGAAACATTACTTTGCCAACAAAGGTCCATCTCATCAAGGCTTTGATTTTTCCAGTGGTCATGTATGGATGTGAGAGTTGGCCTATATAAAGAAAGTTGAGCACCAAAGGATTGATGTCTTTGAACGTTGGTGTTTGAGAAGACCTTTGAGAGTCCCTTGGACTACAAGGAGATTCAACCAGTCCATCCTATTGGAAATCAGTCCAGAATATTCATTGGAAGGACTGATGCTGAAGCTGAAACTCCAATACTTTGGCCTTTGGCCACCTGATGCAAAGAGCTGACTCATTTGAAAAGACCCTGATGCTGGGAAAGATTGAAGGCAGGAGGTGAAGGGGATGACAGAGGATGAGATGGTTGGATGGCATCACTGACTCTATGGTCATGAGTCTGAGCAAGTTCTAGAAGTTGATGATGGACAGGGAAGCCTGGCGTGCTGCAGTCCATGGGGTTGAGAAGAGTCAGACACAACTGAGTGACTGAACTGAACCGAACGGAAGAATTCTATAAACTGAAAATATTCTTAATTGATGAATAGTTTTATGGTAAACAAGCATCCTGTGTCATACGTAAGAGTACAATATTTGACACATTCCTATTGTAAAGATATTTCAAGAATGTCCACTGTCACCTCAACTAATAATATAAATAATATTTATTGAGTATTTACGATGTGCCATGAACTGTACTGGGCTTCTCAGGTGGTGCTAGTGATAAAGAGATGCAGGTAAAATCCCTGGGTCAGGAAGATCACCTGTAGAAGGAAATAGCAACCCGCTTCAGTATTCTTGCCTGGGAAATCCCATCAACAAAGGAGCCCAGTGGGCTACTGTCTATGGGGCTGCAAAGAGTCAGACATGACTAATTGACTGAACAGGAGTGGACCAGATGAACTACTAATCGCTTAATTACTCATTTAATCTTCACATCTATCCTTTGAGAAAGAGACTACAGTCAGCAGGTTCTATATCTACAGATTCACCCTGCTTCAAATATAAAATGTTCTCCCTCCCCTGCAAAATCTAGGAAGTTTCAGAAAGCACAACTTGAATTTGAGGAGCACAGGCCACTATTTACATAGTATTTACATTGCATTTACAACTATTTACATAGCATTTACATTGTATTACACATTATAAGTAATTTAGAAATGATTTAAAGTATATGGTTGGATGTGTGTAGGTTATATGCAAGTACTTCCCCCCTCTGAATAAGATATTTAAGCATCCTCAGGTGGATTTTGGTATGGAGGTCCTGTAACCAATCAAAGCCACCCCTCCCTCCCCTCCCAACCCGCGGCCAGGGTCAAGGTGATTTACTCAAGCTACTGAGCATGAACCAGGGTTTGTACTGAGGCAATCTGGTTCCAGAACATTTCCCCCCTCGTCTAAGCCCATTTATTTGATCTCCAGCACACTCAGGCCTGCATCATCAGCTTGCAAAGCCGGTACTGACTCCCTGCAGCCAGGATATCTGCATAGTAAGCTTCCTCCTGGTCACGGAGTCCATCACGTTCCTCTGAATCTGCCTCTCCACTGTGCTCAAACGTGATCACAGCCCTGGAGGGCGGAGGGACTGTGCGGGCCGTGGCATTGCTCAGTTGTCCTGGTCACGGAGCAAGGCGAGCCGCACGTGGGCCATGCCTCTCTCCCAGCCCAAATGAAGGGCCGGGGCCTCAGGTCCGAACTGCGCATGGGCATCGCTCACGGTGGGGCAGGTCACTGTAAGCGACAGCTTCTCCAGCGTGGTGGCCGTGACCTCCGAGGCTAGTGACGCGATCCAGAAGGTAGGAGCACTTTGCCCTTGCACTTGCTTGCAGGGCTGCACCTGCTTGGGTCAGGCATCGTCTTGGCGATTCCCCAAGGCAGCCACGGGCGAGAAGGGGACAAGGGGTTAGCTCGCCATGGCCATCTCCTCCAGGAAGCCCCGGCCCTGGTCTTGCACCCTGGCCGCTGCCGCTGTTTCTGCTCCTGGCACTCCTGCTTCTGGTCGGCCTTCATCTGTTGGCCGAGCTCCTTTTCTTGTGCAAAATGGCCTCTAGGATTGCTTCTCTCATCCGGGAGCCTTGATGTTGAGGTCGGGGCGGGGCTGCTGAGAGCGGCAGCTGCAGTTGCAATCCCGGACTGTATCCGGGCCCAGTCGAATGTTCTGGGTCCCGGAGCCTGAGGCCACGGTGTCCTTCTCCTCATGGTAAGTGTGGCCGGCTCCTTGAAGCTGCATCTTCCTCATAATCCACTCCTTTTTCTTTCCTGGCTTCTTCAGATGTGTTCTTAAACTGCAAAGGAACCGGAGGTGGTATTTTGTGTTAAATTAGCCAGCTCTCTTTTGCCTGGCGTTCTCATGCTATATCTTTCCCTGTCCTTCTACTGTTAACTTATTTTTCTTCACATCGAGAGTTGGTATGTGTTTTTTATGTTTAGACAACTTACATGTAATGTTACTATTGACGGGGTTGGATTTAAGTCCACCATCTTGCTAGCTGCTTTCTGCTTGCCCCATCTTCCCTGGATCCCCTTTCCCTGTTGCCTTGCCTTCTTTGGAGTTAACAGAATAGTTTTTTAAATGCCTTTGTTCTGATACACCTACACTGCATCCGGATGATCAGACTCTTGTAGTTTTAAAAGAGTTGTTTTTTCCCCAAATGTGCAAATCATTTGAGTGTTGAACGTGATTTGTAGGAATTACCTGAAAATAATGTGTACTCAGTCGGTTAGTTGTGTTGGACTCTTTGCTACCCCATGGATTGTGGCCGGCTAGGCTCCTTTATCCATGGAACTTTCCAGGCAAGAATACTGGAGTGGGTTGCTATTTCCTAATCCAGGGCATCTTCCGGACCCAGGGATTGAACCCGCATGTTGTTCAGTCCTTGTGTCTCCTGCGTTATCAGACAGATTCTTTACCACTGTGCCACCTGGGATGATCCTGAAGATAATAGTGATGCTATTTATCAGGTTATACTTCTGTCTTTCTGCATAAGGCTCTTCTTATGCAAACAGCTACATTACGTTGACCCAGGTCATCCTAGCTGTCTCTGCAAATATCTAAGTGTCATTTATCCACAGAGTAGGAGGGTGGATCAGAGTGTGGCATTGTTACACACTTGAATTGTAGACACTGTGATATACTTGAATTGTATGAGCAATTGTGAAATGTTATTCTCAGCAGGGAAAATTCATGTAGCCACATGAATAACACTAATATGATGTCTCAAAAACAGTGAAAAAAGCAAGTTGTTGATGAATACAGTATGAAATCTTGCATGCTAATTGGAGACCATGTTAGTGGTAAAACTACAAATAAAAACAGGAATGATGAAAACAAAATCAGAATAGTTCCTTGGCCCCTTCTACAAGACAAAATAAGAGAAGAGTATCATTAGGGGGTGTCATAGTGAGAGCTTCCAAAATTTCTCACTATTTATTAAGGTAAGTGGACCACTCATGGACTTCTAATTGTTTAAACTATATGTATATGTATATATTTTTGATTTTTTAAAATATTAAGAAGGCAAAACTGCTAAACTCATGTAGCACTCAAAACATACTCTGTCACCTTCTTCCCTTTTCTACTCACGTATCACTGGGTGTTTAGTCCCCAGCCAATCTGGGCATTGTAAAATTGGCTCCACACTTCAACCCTCACTTTTATTCTGCTCAACTAGGGGAAACTTTTTATGTCTACTGAAGTTCCCTACAGAAAGAAAATATTTTTATTTTATAACTCTATTTGAATCTGCCAAATAGAAGCATCTTGGTTTCAATTAATCGGTATGTGCTAATGACTTATTTGTGATCCTAAGGCTTCAATCAGGTAGACTCTTAAATTGATTGGGTCTGATTTTCAGGTAGGCGGTAGGGATAAAGATTAAGAAACACCTCTTTGTTTTAGTGGTGGGTGGAGATACAAGCCTGCTAAATTTTTTCTTCCTAAAACAAACTTCCTCTGGAACTAAAGATTTTTCACATGTGTAATTTTGGGTGTTCTTCCTGGAAGATTTGCCTTCGTAAGGATTACAGGCTTCAGAATACTGGAAACTGGATTCATTCTCTTTTCTTCAGTGCAGGAATTAATTAGTCTTCAACTTCTGTGTGTGTAGTTGGCGTTAATAATTGACACAGGAAAGATTTTTACAAATATCTTTTTGGCAGACTGTTTTGCTGTGATTTTCTTTACAAGCCAGCATTTCCCATCCCAGAGATACTGTTACATCCATTAATCAAGGGCAGCATGTGTCATATGTGAAATCTTGCACACACAGCCACCAGGAGCTGGAAATCTTTGTTAATGAACTTCAGTCACTCTGCCAGAAGCATGCAGCCTCTGACATCCTGCCTTGCTCCCCGTTTTCCCTCTCATTCCCTCTTACCCTAAAACCTCAACCAGACCCTTTTCGGACTGTGGCTTCCAGGCTCAGACTGCTCTTTTCCTAAAGACTTGTGTTTGCTGGCAAGGCACCTTAGAGGCAAGGCTGTTCCGTCTGACTAGAGCATTCAGTCCCCAAAGACACAAGGCCTCCTGAAACCCTCTTCAGATGCTAATGTTCACACACAGTGCCGCAGGCCCCAGCTGGCCTTCACCTGCAGCTCTGACAGGCAGGAGATTCAGAAGGAGGTCTTGGTTTCCATAAAAATAGGAAGGGCACACATGGCAAATGGCAGAGATCTCGCCCAGGCTATAAAATTATTTAAAGTCAGCTTCCAGACTGTTAAAACTAATTGCTGTGAACACAAAGCCCAGACAGGAGCCCCCTTTCTCCTTTTTTTTTTTGGTTAGTCACTTGAGACAGGGTAGCTTGAATCCTCTGCTAATGCCCACACCTAAAATTAAATGATGCCATTAAATTTAAGATGCAGCTGCTGTTGTTAATATTCAAATATGTTTTAAGCACAGGAGAAACGTGCTGTGTGGTAAGGGAAAAATATTAATGGGTCATTTAGAATTGTCTCTGGTTTTCCTTGGTTTTATTAGGATACCTCGCTTAAATGTAGCATTATTGTTATTACTGCTGACCTTCTGGCTGATTTTCTGTTCCTCCTGAGGAGAGTTTGCGGCCCTTTCATTCTTCCTGTAGAACAGATTTGTAAGGGAAAAGTTACTGAGTCCACCAGCATATTCTAAACCAGAAGAACTTTGCTTGTGGACTTTTTTGAACTAGTGTAGAAGAGCACTGTAGAATCCCTCCCCTGTCCATCTTTTCTTTTCATGGGCTATCATGCACAAGATATCACTCGGAGCAGAATGTGGACTGGGCTTCCCTTACCAGACCTCAGTATCCTGCTCCCGCTTCTCCCAAGCCCATAGTTCATTCCTGAGCATCTTTATTTACAGAAAATTATGATTTAAAACATTGGTCCCTTTGCTTTTTAAGTTTAGAGGCCCTCTTTGACATTAAGAAATGTATTCTTTCAGCAGAAGATAAGGTAAGATAAGATATGTATTCTCATACTGAACCAGGAAAGGAAAACTTTGAGATTATTAAAATACAAAAAAAAAAAAAAAGAAAAAATAATGTTGGAATCAAGAATTGGAGGAAATCTCAAAATGCCTTAAAGGTGGCAGTGTTATTTTCTCTGAAATTCATCAGACCTTAGAAGAAAGACAGTTCAGAGAAGAGGAGCCCAAACTCCTTTTTTTTTTCAACCTGCCTGAAGTCAGAAAACATATGTTAAGCACACACTTCCTTCCAGGATAGTGCTTGGTTTCTGGGACTCGAAACAGTTGCATTTAAATCCACCTGTAGACGCCTGTAGGTAACTCCTAACCCAGTATCTTCCCCTTGTTCTTCCTCTCTTTCTCTCCCTTATGTTTTTTGCTCCCATATTTTTCTCCAGGAGCAGTTTAACATTTATGAAATTATAAGTATTAAGTTTGGCTACTAATTATTTATAGATTCAGGTTTTATAATTTCCAGGAATATAATGTTAACCCGCCTGCCAATGCAGGAGACTTAAGAGATGTAGGTTTGATCCCTGGGTCAGGAAGATCCCCTGGAGAAGGGTATGGCTACCCACTCCAGTATTCTTTTCTGGAGAATCCCATGCACAGAAGAGCCTGGTGGGGCTACTGTCCATAGGGTCACGAAGAGCCAGATATGACTGAAGCGACTTAGCGTGCAATGTTCTTGTTAGTATAGTTTAGCCTTGAACTTTTTATTCTTTACGGTTTTATATCATCATCATCCACTGGAAGGAGAATATGTTACTTTGCATGTTAAAATGAAATTGTTTCCTTATTAACACCCATTTTAAATAGGGAAATAAATATGAGAAATCTGCATCCTCTAGCAGATGCAGCTTAAAGTAACTGAAATGTCACCTAAAATTAATTTTGGTATCTCTTAAACCAAAAGTGTTACCTTTATGTTTAATATATTTTCTTTATGCTGTTTAACTACTAGTCTTTAATCTCATGGGCCATTATTAATAAGACCTCACTTTTTGAAAAATGAAGGATTCTGTAAAATTGTTAAGTAGATTTTCCTGTTGGTTGGTTGGTAAATTAAATGTTCTTTTCCTTTTTGAGTTTCCAAACTTGTTTAACTTCATTTAATATTGATCTTTAATCAGCTTATTGTTCTCAAGTATCTGTAGTGCCACAGTGGACAGACTGCAAAAGGAGGCAAGCTTTCTACTTCTCTGTAATAATAAAGTTTCCAATTGTTTGGGGGAGAAATGGAAAAATATTGGTGGTGACTTACACTGGTGCAAAGGAGTGAATTATACTATAAACAGGTGTTAAATGTTTAGTAAATATGAACAAGAATAGCATTTGTTTAGAGGGAGAAAGCAGGGAGGCATACTTGTGCAGAGGTTAAAACTTCTTTAATTGTATGGTTATGTTATAAAGAGTGCTTCCACTCCTGGGAACATGGAGTAGATTTTCTTCCCTATCCTCATATGAAATACAACTAAACCCCTGAAAGTCCTGAAATTGAGATACAGTATTATCTGCCTCAGCATCAGAAACCAGAGGGCCTTAGGATGATGAAAGAAATCAAGAGCTAATTAAATGGAGAGGTATACCATGTTTGTAGATTGGAAAACTCAACAGAGTAAAGATACTAGTCCTTCCCAAATTGATATAAAGGTTTAATATACTATATTTTAAAATCCCAGCAAGATTTTGGGGGATATATAGAAAAATATATGAAATTTAAATGGAAAGGTAAAGAACAAGAATGGCTAAAAGAAGATTTGGAAAAGAAGAATAAAGATAAAAGAATGTCTACTCAGTTAATAATAGTTTAGTGATCAAGGCAACTTAGAGAAGGGATAA